AAATCTAAAATATCTATAAAACAAGCCCTGATGATATACACTGCCTTCCATGCAGTTCTTCCATATGGCTCAAGCAAAGTCAACTTTTAATTTCATAACACAAAATATTTAATTTATCCTTTTCTTCATATGTCAATTTAACCTCCGGCACATAACTTTGAAACCGCGAAAGGATGTCTAACACTTTCCATATGGCAACTGAATTGTGGCTTTTAATTGCACCAACTGGTATCATTCAAGGATAATTCCCTTGGAATCCAGCTTTCTGCTACAATATTGGCCAATTCACTAATCTCATCACCATGGCACTAATACTTTCAGAGCTGTCAAGATAGACTATGTGTACCACTAATTAAATTATCTGGGTTTGTTGGCACCAAATTATAACACTAAATAAGATTTTGCCTCTCTATCTTCCAATACCAAGTTTGGCAATTTTATTTTAAATACCATACACATAACATTTTATGTATCAAAATATTTCATCTGTCATGTAAATACATAGCTTGGCTGAGTTCTAAACCTCTCAGTCCATACAAGTAATTATTTATACAATACTGCCATTAGTGTACTTGAAAGTATTTCAGTTTAAAAGATCACCTCAAGCCATCACACAAGGTAGCACCTTAGGAAATTTGTAACTGATCTTATTACCATACTAGCAAGAAGAGAGTTCTTCAAATGTCATTCTATCCATAAAATGAACCCAAAAGCAGTGCTACAATTAAATCTTTCACTTCAGCAGCCTTTAAGACCACAGAGTTTATACAGGCCACTAAAAAGTCTCATTTCTGCTTATTATTTTCACTTTGGATGCGTACTCTATCCAGCTGCGCCTCTCATAAGGCTATCCATTTTTGCATACACAAACACATACTATCTAACGGTGGGGAATTAGGAAGAACTTTTTTTCTAAAATTAATGAAGGACCATGCAAGAAGAACAGTAAAGCTGAGACTGGCCCCTAGTCCCCCATTAGTCACACAAGGAACATCCATTAATGTCAGTGGCAGTTAGAGGCATAGAACAAATGGAGAACAAGCCCCAGCTAAGAAACAGCGATATGCCTCAGCATTTCCCACTGCATCAACCCCAGACCAGATACTCAACTCTAATATCAATAAAGTTAGAACGTGAGGATCACTAGCACCAAGCAGTTCTTTACTGCAGAAATGGTAAGCCAAAGGCTTTCCTATTTCACCTGAAATTGTTACTTGCTACTTGGCTCACTGTGAGCTGGTTTGAAATTTAATTAAAAACAAGTTTTTTTTTTTCCAGTCCCAAATACTGATTTCAATGAGATGCACAACCAAAAAACTGCAAAATGTCATATGGCTTTGAAGATAAAAATAAATTGAACTAAGCAATGTCATATTTAACATTTTCCCCTCCAGCACAGAACTACTTCTCAGTTAAATAAATAAATACATGTATATTTGCAAACAATGTTGATCTCCAGAAATGGTTTGCAAAAATAAACATGCTGAATAAATTTAAGCTTAAGAATTATACAGGATAATCCACAGTGCCAGAAAACCTCTCAATCTCCAGGCACAAGTTAACTCATTCATAAAGCAGCAAAAGAAGTGCATTCACTTGCTCTAACAGATCTACAACTCCAGTGGTTTTAATTAGCTTTGAAAATAGAATCTGACTCTCTTCATGGATGCAACAAAATTCCTCTTTAATTCTCTGTGATGGAGAATGAAAAGGGTGTGGCCAGCCCTCAGCCTCCTCAGTAATTAAAACACTTAGAGCAGAGCAGCCCCTGCTGGGCGGGTGGCAATGGCTTAATTAGCCCAGAGCAGAAAGTTGTTTACACACCAGAAGTGCGCATGTTAAATACACTCCCCTCTCTGGATTCATGCCTTCACCCAACAATTTACCACTATGAGATCAATCTCAGATGACAGATGCAGTTTGCAATAGCTGGACACTGATTACTCATATCCCAGTGAATTCATGCTGGGGAGAAATATATCAGATGAGGGAAGTCTTCTCCAACCAAGAAAACTCAAACCTTCAGTTCAGGAAGGTAACAAGTACTGCATGCTGAAGCCCCTACTTGTGTCAAATGCTCTGTGACCAAACTGACAAAGACTTGCCCTCCACAAATTTTTCATGAGAGTCATCCATGCAAATTAAATCGGACTAGAGAGGAGCACAAATGAAATTTCATTGCTTTCCTATGTTAGTCATTCATTCCTCTTTTAAAAGGCTACATGAATCTTCCTGTACTTCCGTGTCATCTCCTCTGGATGACGAATGTAAGTGAAACAATTCAGTGTCTCTGTTCTTGAGGGAACCAGTCTTACAACTCCAACCAACACAGAATTTTTGGCCTATATGGGGTAACATACATCAAATTTCACTATCATATTCAAGCTCTAATCAAAATGAGCCAAATCATCAGTTTCAGATATGGAAGCAACTCAGCATTGTGTTTTCCATCAACAGCTCTTTGGAAATACAGTGGATTTCACCAAATAGGTGAAATGCTCACGAAATCTTCATCAACAAACATCTGGTTAAGGACTCCTAAAAGGAAAATTATTTCCAGGACCACTGTTGGTTTTCTTGTTGGTTTTTGTTTGTTTGTTGTTTAAACTCAAGTTAATGTTTCTCTTGCTGCAAATATTTTCACTGGTGTTTGATCTAATTCTTTCTGCCATAAATCACAGAAGTGGCAATTAAGATCTATTTCAGGGGAAAGAAGTTCTAAAGAGAAACCAAGTTTTCCAGTCATGACAACAGAGCTGTTCCATTCCACAGAGTCTTACAAGCTAATTGCACATTTTTAAGAGGAGTTTTGAAGCAGTAAGCAGAAGAACCCTTGGCTGATTCAAAAGCAACTACACTATGTTATTGAGGGAACACACAGTGCTACCAGAAGTGACTAGTAGCCTTCCTACACCTAGAGGTGAACAGAGAACCAAGAAATTAGGCAACAATCCACTTTGAATCTTGGTATAATTATATAAGAGATCAAAGACATCTTAGAAGAGAAACAGTTGTGCAGTCTCATTTACGGAGTCAACAGCTCCATAATCCTTGTCAAAGACTGTACATATGGCACATCTGTTTCCAATGTAGGATTAGAAATGCATCCTTCCATATTACCAAAAGTTCGTATTTTAAAAGAACTTCAGTGAAGCTGTCACAGTGTGACTGTGATAGGATGACAAATGAACTGAATCAATTAGCAGGCCATATATGCATGCAGATAGAATCAAATATATTAGCCAATAAATTCCCAATATTTTCAAACATCCTGAAACAGCTTTATCAGGATGACAGTAAAAAGCCTCATGGGAACAGAGCTTTTAAACCTATTTACAGTTTTATAATGTAGTAAAAAATACAGGCTAATTTTTAGTTAATGGCCTGCTAATTGCTGAGCTATCCTGAGGACATCTCGGTATACTTCGCTCTACTGTCATTCCAGCTGAGCAGACTTCACAGAACTAAAGTTTTCTAAATACCAAAGCATACTTATTATTAAAGATTTTTTTTTTTCCAGAAAGCAAACTACTCTCATGAAATACATTCTCATTCTCAAAGCTGAAGTCAGCAATTTAGACGTTTATATTTTAAAACCGTGTTTAGTTTGGTGAGTTCAACTTTCTTTCCAAGAAAACGAGCATGTGAGTGGTAGAACACATCTGAAAAACCTGACTTTCAAAAATGAGGATGATGAAAGATAACTTAAAAGCACATTTTAACTCTTTGCAGCTGTATCACATATGTATGTACCATTACTAATGTCAACATACAGTCTCCAAGTAAAATACAATGGAAATCACTAAAACCAGACAGCTGCAAGGTGAACACCAAGCAAAGCGATCAAGTTCATCATCTACAAGCACTTATTGATATAAGGGCTACCCTACCCTCCTCACCTCACTTCCAGTGATTCCCAAACAATTTAGCCTCCTCTATATACAATACTGAAGAAATCTAAAGAGTTATCAGCTTTTTCCACTCTACGCATCATCCATGCAATTCAAGACCACACCTAACATGAAGTCTGCCTCATCTCTTCTCCAGTTCACAAGTTATTTTTTACCTCTCTCTCCTTCCCCCAGAAAGAAGAAATGCAGACTTCTGACATTAAAAGTAGTGGCTAACAATGTAGTGAGTCTGCTGGAGGTCTGGTGGCCCTGCTCTACTTGTGCTCTCAAAGCCACATTCCTTGCTGAGAAGCACAGATTCCAATCTCCCCATCTCTCAGGTTACTTTTCCATTGATGCATCTTTCAGTGTTCGATCCAGATCTCATGGAAGTCAATGGGAGTCTTTCAGTAAACATCAATAAATTCTGGATCATACCTTGAAATCACACTATGAGGACCATACTGAGCACAACTGCCTTTGTTCATCTGTTCATCTCCCATCATGCCTTTTTGTTTAAAGGGACAAGCAAACAAAAAGATCAACAAATAGCTTAAACATTTCCTCCAGTGCAGCTTTACATAAGAGAACTGGAGGAAAGAGAAAGGCTGGAAAATGACCAGCATGTGATAACAACCAGGACAAGTGACGTGTGCCCCACACTAACAGCACAGAGCAAGTAAATAACAATAAACTCGTAGGGAACATCTCCTTTCCAGAAGTGCTCTGCCAAATCGTGGCAAACTTGTGCATCAATCCGGGTACACAAGCTTGCACACACTAGGTACTGGCTTCTCTCCAGCAATTCTCTGTTCATTCCCGTTTGTGATGGGTTTTGTTCCAATCGTGCCACCCAGACACTGGCAGACAGGTCCCCACCTACTCCCCTGGCTTTTGTACCAGCACCAAGTTTGCTCCGCAGCTCCCAACTTCATCAAAGGACAGATGGAAACCACCCACGAGGCAGCCCCTGGAGCAGCACTATGGTAAAGCAACCCTTGCGTTCGCACAACCGGCCCTCGGGAAGGAGAGAGAGATGGAGAAAGAGCTTTTGGTTTCCCCCGTTTCAGAAAGAAGAAAGGAGGGGGCGCAGCCAGGAAGCTGACATACCCTGCCGCTGGAGAGCCCGCAAGCAGCCCGGTGCTGGCAGCCTTGAAGTCCCGAGCTGCTGCCTCCGCTGCTGCTGCCGCTGCCCCCGGAGTATTTCTGCTTCACCATCCAGTCCTCCAGCCCTTTGCGAGCCAGAGAGGCGTTCACCGCAAAACTATCACCTAGAAAAGAGGAGACAATGCCGCTGCTGAGCCGCCCGCACAGCCCGGCCGGCCCGGGGAGCCCGCAGCGGGAGCGGGACCGGAGCGGGCGGGCAGAGCGCGGCGGAAAGTTGGGGAGAGGGCAGCGGCCGGGGGCAGCCGCGGGGACGGGCACGGAAAGGCGGTGAAAGTTACTAGCAGCGAGCAGCCATCCCTACCTTCCGGACTTTCCCTGGGTTTACAAACGGCGGCTAGGCAGATCCAGAGGAAAGTGTGTGAGGGAAATAATAAAGGGAGATCGTTAGACACCAGTATAAAATCACAGCAACAAACCAAGTAAAATCCGAATAAGGGGAAAGGACTGAGGAAGTAGCAAGTGAAAGGAACTAACCATGCTTCGAGTGAAGTTTCCCCATTTCTCTGCATTGATCTGCAATTACGATTCATTTGACTGCTTTCGGTAGGGTCAGGTTCTGTTGTCGTTCTTATTTTTGTAGCTGTATAAAATCCCAGCGTGTTTAGAAATCCATGTGCTCCGCTTCTCCCTGCTAAAGCACAAGCAAGAGCAAATCTCAGCTCCCTCCTGCAGCACGGTCCGGCGTCCCCCTCTCAGCTCCAGCCTTCCTCCTCTCTCCTCTCTTTCCCAAAGACAGAGGCGGTTACAAAAGACCTTACTTCACCCACCGGGGAACATGATTGACACCTCATTGAGATTAGACCACTTGCAGGCAGCCTCCGCCTTCCCATTGGGCCGCGGCGGTACATGAAAGGGACGAGCGAGCCTTTTGGAGGCTCCCAAAAA